ACAGCACTCGTACGTAATTGATTTACGATTTAAGTGCTGGAACATAAAGATAGCAACCCCTTTTAATAATATAGAAAAGGGGAATTATGTTTGTGTAATCTAATGACGTATCTTTAGCTTTTTAAACCTGCTCCTGTTGCTAAACTGCCAGCTATGAGGCATTAAAATTGCTGCCCCAAACTTGTGGTTACCCTATGATGAGACAAAATTAGAACATTTATCTATCGATTCGATACATGATACACATAATACATGACTTATTGTACTTAACGAAGATTAATTTATTAAAAACTTGATAATTTCCGGTTTTAATCTTAATTAGGGAATTTCAAATAAGGGCCTTCTGTATTTTCTATTTCATTAGGTTTATCTAAAGAAACTTATTTAAATTATTATGTATTAAAACTGTTGTCACAATATATTATAGGTAACTATGGGTACCGTAAGACGGGGTAAACAGAAATTGAGGGGTAGGCTGTATAGATAAATAATAAAAGGGAGACGTAAATACTGGAACAATGTCTATGTATTTACTCCTAACTTAATTTATACCATTTTTCCGTTATTTAATATTATTTTCACCTATTATAGTTTAAAACGTCATTTAATAATATTTGCTAATAATGCTGCTAACATACTAATAATAATTTCCCTCAGTATTATTATACCATATGGAAAAATTTGACATTTCACTTAAAAAAATGTTGTATAAAAAAGAAACCGTTATCCGAATCCGAAACTAATAAAATTAATGAGCATTATACCTAGATATATCGACATAAAAAAGAATGAATGAGTAATGAAAAAACAAATCAATAGGTAAGGATTTCCATAAAGTTGGTTATTGACTTTTCGTGACAAATGATTAAGGTGTAATAATAACTACGAATATGAATTTATTAAATTAAATAACACACCTTGAATACAATAACGGTATGTATACTAATAAGCTGCTTGCTATTACATCTTTTCAGGCACTTCCAGTTAGATTCATCGTAATTGTATTGCAGGTTTAATATATGAAATTTATGTGCAAATACTTCGTACAAGCATACTTATATAGGTAAATAAATAGGTATGTATATTAAAAGTGAACCTAATTAAATATGAACTTTTTTTAAATGTCATATACGAAACACTAAAAGCCTTTTTGAAGTGTGATAAGTAAGAATGACCAGGCTACATCGCCTCTTAAGATTCTACGTGTTAAAAATAATCTAGTGGAATATCATTTCATTTGTTCAACTTACTAAACTAGACCTGACTGCACGTATGGCGTGGTGACTGGGCAAGCGGCTGCCGCACAACGTGTGGCGGCGGGTTCGTTTCCCGCGAAACAATACTGTCTGAGATCCACAAATTGTAAACTAGGTGTCATGTGTATATGAAATTATGTGAATCAAATATTAAAATTACGTAAATGTTTTCATTAGGGATGGAGATTCGTTCCGAAGAAATTGATTCTTGAAAAATCGTGTTCTAAAAAATCGATTTTTGATTGATCGATGTTTGTTCGATTCATTTTATAAAATTAAGCACACCATAATAATCATTACATTATCATTTCTAACTACATGATAGGTACTTGTAAACTATGTAATACTCAGTTGTAATTTTTTTCAGACCTAATCAAAGTTTTATGTCATAATGACATTTATCAACCGTTTACATAGTTACAACAGTAGCTATATCAAGGGTAGAACGATTCGCGGGGGTCCACGTAATGATGGTATGGTCTCCATTCCATTTGTCCTCGAACTCCAGCCACATTTTAAGGTGACTTTGAAGAAGGACTTTAAAAAACAGAACAAATTAGATTATTTCTTTGTTTTACAAATAGTTACTTACTTAACATCTATGTAGTATTTCCCAATCGCTACAGCTACCTAGGTTCATAAATCTATTATGATCCCCGAGTATGGTATGATATGGATGGATGCAGATGGCTTCCAACCGGACTATCTAGGACTATCTGGAAGGGTCTATGTTCAGCAGTGGGCATTTTGTGGTTGATATATTTGATGATGACGATGATGGTATCGTCATCATCATCAACAGCCTATAAATGCCCACTGCTGAGCAAAGCCTCTTCTCACACGGAGAAGGTTAGAGCATTAATCACCACGCTTGCTCAATGCGGGTTGGCGATTTCAAACTTATAATTAGAAATTATAAGTCCAGGTTTCCTCACGATGTTTTTCCTTCACCGTTTGTCAGTGGTGTCTAAATAATCTTAGAAAGTACATATAACTCGGAAAAAGTCACATTGGTACTTGCCGTTGGTAGGTTTCGAACCCGCACCCTCATGCATGAGAAGTGGGCGTCTTAAACCTCCGGGCCACCATGACAGGCATGGATGGTATCGTGCTGTTCCTTTATTACGTAAAACGATTAGAGGAGACAGGGGGTTGTTGTTAATACGTAAAGATCTAAAGGTGACGTAATTTCAAAATTCTTGCTTGAAATTCATATTTGTCGAAACTCCGGCCGTACTTAACTTTCTATAATAACATTTTTGCTACATAATTTAAATCGGCATAATCTATCTTTGGTGTGATTTCATACAGACACATTATATGGGAACTTCCTTCTCCGTTTTTTAACCAACTTCAAAAAAGGAGGAGGTTATACGTTCGGCCGGTATGTTGCTTTTTTTTTTTGTATGTTGTAAATTAAGGTTAATTTAGGTTAGGTAGGTTTAATCTTAATTAAATAGAATTTACAATCTAAACATTGGAAATATTAACACTTGTGTACCTTGCACACACTGAACTTAATATGTATAACTAGTATGCAGTAAATAACTTATATAAGTAAATAAGTTGTATTTGCCTATTTATCATAATTCGGAGTCTCTTTTATTTTCCTGTAAGCTCATAATACCTTAATAACAAGTTATCTTGGATATCATATGAGAAACGAGATTGAATGATCAACATCATCAGTTTCAAAGTAATTATTTTAGTATTTAATAATAGTTTGGCTATCGTGAACTATAACTATAATTTATGACAGGCATCTTGTTTGTTATGTCTTTGATCTTATCATGATTATAAATGTATTTTGAGACAAAAACTTAAATTATCCTTCCTTGTTATAATGTACCTTTTCTTATTTAGGGATCAGGTATCCAACTAATGTGAATACAAAAAACATCCTCATTCATTAATTCGTCTTCTGGGCTACGTATGTACGTTCTACGTGGATACGTAATATCATGCTTAAAAATGTTTCAGGTGTATTTAAAATGTGAATTAAAAAACTAAAATAAAATTACCTTTCGTTATGTTACGTGAGCAATTTTACGGTAATTCGATTATTTAACTGATTACTTAGAGTTTGTCAAAACACACAATCGTTCACTGAAGTCACATTATTCACTACGATCAAAAAATGTACAAATACGCCGTTGAACTTTTTGAAGGATCATTAACTAGTGACTAGGGCGAGTTTACAATTATTTATTCTGTCTTAATAATCTGAGTAATTAATTAAACAAAATAGGTACTTGTATTAGATTTAAGTAATATGATTTACGATTACGATACACTAATTAATAAAATTATATGGATAATGCTTGAGTCACTAGAAGTACCACTGTAAGCTATAGAACGTATAGCGCAGTGCGCGGTCACGGGCGGCCAGTGCTAACGCACATACGTGGTTTCTTGGTTGGCGCACCGGGCCCATCCATCATTACTATGCGCGCTGCGTCTCTTCCTTTCTTGCCGCCAATGTCACTCGCATTGTTTACCGGCACGACTCTGTCGCATCAGTACACCACCTAACTGTACACACACGAACTAAGTGGACCCTGAAATTGGCAATGCCCTTGTTTTTAACTGTTCAAAGTTGACCCGAACGAGTGACCTAGCTTTTTAGGAAGTTTTGCTCATTTTTCAATTTGTTTGTACGAACCTGTGCGTGCTCGTAATGAGTCGATGCTAGACCAAGACTTTTTATTATTATGTTATTAATGGTTCGTTCGGAATCTGGATCATCCTGCCCTTTGGAAGAAGGACAAACCGGAACCGGTATGTGTTTACTGTTTACTGAGTACTTGTGCCCAGCATTGTAGATGCTGCCGCGAGGGGGGGTTGGAAGTAGCGGGCGATGGCCTGGAGCACCCCGCGTGCTCGTATTCAAGGCGAAGTTCAAGGTGGGGCGTTGGCATTTATTATACCTATGATTCGTCAACATACGATGTCAGATGCTCTGTGCCCACGCGCAGTATGGGTTCACAATTTAAAAAGAAATTATAACTAACAAAAAAATAGCCTATTGTGTTCGTAGTAAAAAGACTACGTTGTGTGTCATTCATTAAATATGTATGTAATGGGAAAATTGATGATTAGGTGTTTTTGAATACTTCAATTGAATATTAAGTTGGTAATCATTATAATATTTAGCTTACTAAGCTAGGTTTAATATACTAATTGTTTAAACAAACTAAGAAACCTTATGGTTTAGACAGGCGTTTAAGGTTTTATATAAATTATTTTATTCTGGCCGCTAGCAAAGTTGCAATATAATAGGTAGCCCAAAGAGTATAATAAGTATAGGGGAAAGGTAGTCTGTCACAATAGTTCAATCATTGTGTTCCTTGATTTAAGTAGATAATTCAACAATAGCAAAATTGGTAATTTATTTAAAATATAAGTAATATCCTTAATGTACAATAGTAAAAGCTTTGCTACCAGCTCCTCCGCAGTGGGTAATTGATATGACTTCAAAATAATAGTGATAAAAATCTGTGTAGCAGTACCTACATCATAACAACTAAAGTATGACACTTGTAATATTATCGAACATCTTTCGTCATCTTTATCATTATCCATTTGTTTGTTTACAATAGTCACAAAGTTTTCACGATAACAGAATCCGCTAATAGCGCGTTGTCATGTGATCAATAGTTAGTTGTAAATTATACACTGGTGGTGTAGGACGCTAGCGTGGTTCGCTTAACATAGTTGCTGTGAGGCGGTGTATTCGGTGTTGCGATGGCGTTGTCTGAACGTCACTTGTTTTTAAGCAAACGTCTCGTCACTGAGAGCGGAGTAGCTGATGGCGGTGTGCTCGTTGATGTAAACGGAACCATTGAACAAATTGTTACTAGAGAAGAGGCAGACAAAATTATAGCAGAAAACGATGGAAAGATCAAGGTACTACCATAATTTTCCGATCCTGAATTTAACTACACACTTCACCTGGGGCATAACATTATCCGCAATTCAAATGAGGCCTCTTATAACATTTGTATTAAATGCTCTTAGTTTATATTTTCTTTGAATGACAGTGAGTTTAAGCATTTTCTCATAACTTTCTTAGCATTTACTATTTACCCTAAATTGTTTAAATACATGGTTTATAAAACACAACGATACATCTCGTCAACTCGACACATTGTTACAGGTTAGGTCACGGATAACGGACCGGTCGGCGGTCGCAGATAATAAAATTATAAACCCGCTTTTATAAACTCTGACATCGTTTAATATCGCCTTTATGTCGTTGCAATAAGAACGGTTATTGTAGTTAAAATGTGCATTAACATACTTCTTAAGTAAATACATGTATTCTGTGTTACAGGTGGTCGATGGCGGGAACTTGGCGCTGCTGGCCGGTGTGGTAGATTCTCATGTACATGTCAATGAACCAGGTCGCACAGCATGGGAGGGATTCCGTACAGCCACCAGCGCCGCCGCCGCAGGAGGCATCACCACCATTGTCGACATGCCCCTGTAATTATTTTATATTTATTATACATGACATAGCAACTCATCCGACTCAATTACAAACATATTATATTAGAACAGTTCTAAACACTCCACAAGTCCACAACTGATTTACCTACTACAACTAATTTGTAAGTATTTGTCTGGTGGTTAAAAAAAAACTAACATTCGAACATAATTCTTCCTCCTTTTAGTAAAAAATATGCTCATAGCATTATAACAACTGAGTCTTGAATGACGTAATGCAGAAATTAACTATCAGTACCCGATCGGTGGCACCATCAATGCCAGGCATTGTTTGAAGTAGGTAGGCACTAATTAACACTAATAGAGGACCTTCATACTTCAACTGTTCTAATACCAAAGTCGGTTTTGTCAAAAAATATGGATAGTGAGCACCCTGTAATAGGAATATATGTACCTATAGTGACTCTAATACATAAGTAGGTACTTAAATAGACTAAGTAATTAGACTTTCACTTTAATCCTTTTACGGCTAACTTTAAGCATTAGGTGTATTATGCCTACTTACACATTAACGATAAAACATTAACCTACTTTTACCAATACGGCACATGCTCGCTTATAAATTGATAACTTCGGTTAAATGCTAGCATCACTTGTTCAATATAATTTTATTATTCATATAGGTTCTAAGTTAATTAATTGCTTACTTTTAATTTTTTTTATTTATTTCAACCACTATTGTTAGATAGTCCACATGATTTTTAGGTCCATTACTTATGACATACGTAGATGACCGAAGATAATTAAACTTTGTAGTGAAGTTTTGACTGCACGGTTGATGCGGTGGCTGGGGAACCGGCTGCCGTGCAATGAGTCACGGGTTCGTTCTACAAATTGTTGTTTCGGGTCTGGGTGTCATGTGTCTGTGAACTTGTATGTTTGTAAACGCACCTACGACATAGGAGATAATAATAGTGTGGGTGGGACAACGTTTTTTAAAAAAAGAAACATAAAAAAAGTATTTAAAAACCTGACAGTGTCAGTATCTCGTAGATTCGAAATATGTTTTGCAACGTTAGTAACCAAAACATCGATAAATGTATCAACTGATGTATACTTTATCATACCTATCAATGCTCCACTAAAATTCTGTTGGTATTTGTATATCAATATCAATATGACAAGATTTCTATCTCATCATTTTGATTCGCGATCAACGACTTTATTTTTAAAGATAGAAATATTTTTATTGTGACTAAAAACTAAAACTAAATAAGTACTTTTTATAAAAACAGTAGACTGATAACATACAAAATAAAAATGAAAAAACATACATACATAACATACATAACTTCACGCCTGTCTCCCATGGGGGTAGGCAGAGACTAAGGAACGCCAATTACTACGATTCTTACATACCTCTTTAGCTTCATTAACAGTCATTATTCTTTTCATGCATGCTTGTCGGTTAAGGCTACTTTTAATTTGGCCCTTCTTTAATATATCGCCAATCTGGTCACTATATGTCTGTCTAGGGCGCCCTCTACCGACGGCTCCATTCATATCCGCTCTGTATACTTCTTTCGTTACTCTACTTTCATCCATCCTTTCTACATGTCCAAACCAGCGTAACATTCCCTTTTCAATCCTTGTCACTACTAGAAAGAAATATTAGGTGATAAATTAAATGCAACATTCTGTTATTTCCAGGAACTCCATTCCTCCAACTACGACGGTAGAAAATCTGAAGATTAAAGCTTCTTCTGCCGATGGAAATGTCTTTGTGGATGTTGGCTTTTGGGGCGGAGTTATTGTTGGAAACGATGTAAGAGATCTGATCTTTTTATAATTTACAGCTATAAATAACTATGATGTACCTGTACCTAATTGTAGTAGATTAATACTGAGTATACAGTTCCGATACAAAATCCCTTGATGCTCAATATGTCATGCTATGCAGTAAGGGGTTAAGTTTCGTTATGCTAAACTAATTAACTATAATTGTATATAAACTACTGCCTCGTTGGCCGAATGATCGCAAGTTCTTAGTAGTAGCACGGAGTATGGAATTGTGCCCGGTATATGGCAATAGGCTCACCCCCTATTACATGGGACTCATAACATAAATAGTGAAAAGTGGGTGTTACATTGTACAGTGGCATAATGTGCACCTCTGCCTACGCCTTCGGGGATAAAAGGCGTGATGGTGATAGGTGTTATGTATAAAAGAGAAAGCAGCATGGAGCATTTTTTCTTATGATCCACCGGGTGCTCATAAGGACGCTCGAGGGGTTAAGTGACGTAGCACTAGACTACGCCGTGTCGGCATCGGCTACGGATTGCTACGCAACGGCTACGTGACCCCTACGCAACAGCTACGCCACGTCTACAAGTCTACAAAAAGTCTACGCTACTCTTTGATGCAAACGTTTGAGTCAAATGGATGTGTACAACACGCATATTACATTACATACAAGGTACCTTAGCGTCGGGAAATAAAAATAAAACTCTTAGTAAACTTAGCAAATAATTATGTTATCAATAAAAAAAATAATATAGTAAGGTAATTAATAGCATACAGTTCCAATGCAATAAGTATCGTTCCAAAATATTGACTATTTAATCAGTTGCATAGCGTTTGCTTGCTTACACTACGTACTAGAAAAAGTGTACGGCGTAGATGATCATGCTACTAACTGCTGCGCAATGGCTACGTAACTTCTACGCAACAGCTACGCCACGTCTACAAGGCTACGCGCTACGAAATAACTACGCTACTCTAGTTTGAAGAAAACATACCCGTAAAATCCATTTAAGCATTGTACATTCATGTCCTAATAAAATAAGCAAATTTTATAAGGTATCAATGTGAAAAGGTAAACGATTACAAAGGTGTTTGACACTTTGTTGAATATCATCAGTATTATTCGTTTTTTATTGGATATGTTTTTGCCATAATGTTAATGGACCAAAGACAAGTTTTCAAACATTGCAATATTTGTCACACCATAATATTAAGAAATTATTACTTATTAGGTATTATAAACATCAAAAGAATAAACAGAATTTTATTAAATACAAACGATATACTAAAACTCTGAAGTAGGTAATAATATTATTCTTAAACAGGTCGATATTTTTAAATTGGTAGGTTATTCACTTTTTAAACAGTCCACAAATCACTTCCCATGGGTAATTTATTTGTTCTATATTCTTGTAATAGATACAATCTATGTGTCACCTTTTTAAAAAAATGGTATAAAGCGGTTTTTTACCTTAGAACTCGAAAGCTTTGTTTGTGTTCGTCATAAAATATATTTTTAATTTCAGGATTCTCTGCGAGATCTAGTAAAAGCAGGAGTTGTTGGTTTTAAATGCTTTCTGTGTCCGAGCGGTGTCGATGAGTTCCCGAATGTCGGACCTGAAGATTTGGAAAAGGCTTTTGAAGCTTTGGAGGGAACTGGATCAGTACTTGCAGTACGTGTGCTTTACAGTAATCAGTTTCTTTTATATTATCTAGAACTAGCTTTTACCCGCGGCTTTGCTCGCGTCACAAAAGAATAAAAGTAGCCTATGTGACATATACCAATACACACAGCGCCATCTATACCAATACTTTTGTTTTTCCTCGGGAATATCAATTTTTTCCGGGTTAAAAAGTACCCTATTATTTAATCCGGACTTCTAACTTTTCGTCTGCAAAAATTCAAAGCAATCGGTTGAGTAGTTACGGCGTGAAGGTGGAACAAACAAACAAACTTACTTTCAGATTTTTAATATTAGTAAGGATAATTAACATGAAACGATGAACTCTTTACAAAAAATGAAACTATGAGCTTAAGAAGATGCCACTATTCTATTTCAGTTTCACGCGGAGCTTGAAGATGACAACCCACCCAGCAGGAAGAAGATTAAAAAGAAAGGTACGAAAATATTTACGGAGAGTAGATACACAAGTAAATAAAAAGATGCTGTTATTGTCATTAAATGCTATTTACGGACGACCTTCACCTTGAGCCGTGTATCAAATAAAAAAGTTTATTCAAGTAAACGATCAATTTACCGAAACAAATTATTAAGCCCGAGTGTCATCTTGTGACAAATAATTTTTGCTTTTAAGTAAATACCGTTTAAAATGCATTTGTTCCAGACCCAGAAGAATATCAGACATATCTTGAATCCAGACCACCTAATATGGAACTAAATGCGGTCGCGCTCATTAAAGACTTTGTTAGTAAGACTGAGTAAGTTATTGTTACTGAATATTTTTGAATCAATAACGAAATCCACCACATTTATATACTTTACACGCGAAACAAAAATAGTTTTGCTCATATAGAACAAGTTTTTGCCAGTGTCTTTACCCGTGTAACTGCGGTTAATAAACCTCTATAATGATTTCGTGACCAAGCGTGGTGAGTGATGCCAATTCCTTCTCCGCCTGAGAAGTGAATTGCTCAGCAGTGGGCACTAATAGGTTGATGTTGCGATGTGATGTGAATGATTCCAAAAATAACAATCGATCCGTTGTAAAATATTATATTACATTTCTTTACCACCAGACTATTCAGGAGTTCTTCAACCAACATAACAATTATGAAATCGTAAAATGCGGTCTGTTATTTAACTTAGCCATAGAGTTTAGGCTCATTTAATAAAGTTAACTACGTTACTTTTTATAAAACGAACAGACAATGACAGAGAATGCGTTCAGCCTAATTTGCTTTAGCTCGTAGGGAATTAATGTGGATTTGTGTTTTACCATACAGCGTCAGAGTTCACGTAGTCCACGTGTCTTCGTCCGATGTGGTGCCTCTACTCACGGAGGCGCGAAAAGTTCGTGTAGCGAGGGGAAACGAGGCCTGGCGCGCCGGAGTCACTGCTGAGACCTGCCATCATTACCTCACCTTCAGTGCTGATCAGATCCCCAAGGGACGAAGCGAGTACAAATGCGCTCCACCTATTAGAGACAAGGACAATAAGGTAGGAATTTAGACAATCCTTAATAATTCTTAATTATCTTAATCTAATGTACTTAATTTTATTTTCGTTTTGGATTGATAATGAAAATATAACAGTACCCAACATTATTTTACTAATAACGGTGACAAAGCCTCTAAATAAAAAAAGCAAATGTACGGTTTCTTTTTTTATTTTACGAAAAAGCAAATCTACGATTTCTTTTTTTATTTTACCATCAATGTAGCCAGTATTAATTTATAGATCCTAGATGCAATGAAACAAAAAGGTTAGGTATTTTGGTCAAACTTCGCAGTGCAGAGTCGATATTTATTTCTTCTTTATTTTATTTTCTACTAAGATTTTGTTTTTATTAATTTCACCAATTATTGTCAGGAAAAACTGTGGGAGTATTTACTGGAAGATAAGTTGGATTTGGTGGTGTCAGATCATTCGCCGTGCACTCCAGACCTGAAATGTTCAAACAATTTGGAGGCTTGGGGTGGGATTTCGTCTGTTCAATTCGGTAGGTTACTTATTTTATTTAATTTGGTAAGAGTCTAAAAGAAAATACTAAAAAGTAATTTGACAAGAAAATTGTATATTGATGATTATAATGAAATTGTAACTCACAATCAATGTTGCGCACAGCTTGTTTCTTTTTTTAATGGGGCCTACCTTATTTGTGCTCACCAGGTGGTGCTAGTGTGAACCTCTCGTTCTTCGCCCAATAGGGAATTAGCTTGTGTCACACCATTGGACGTTTAATATTGAACAACTGCTGTAATTGGACTAAAAATCTCTTCGTACATTTGCGCCATCTGATGACCAAAAATATGGTAGCCTCCATTATGTAGTTACATAGTGTATAACTTTATTCATTTGTCTAGGTTTGTCTTTATTCTGGACGTCGGCAAGTACTCGAGGACTGGACCTGACGGCCATTAGTAAATACATGAGTTCAGCACCGGCCCAACTATGTGGCCTTCAGAACCGCAAAGGATCCTTGAAGGCAGGTCTTGATGCTGACCTCATATTCTTCGACCCCGATGCGTCCTTCACCGTCACTAAAGATATTATACGACACAAGAATAAGGTAAAATTAATGATGAACTTGTCTTAACAGCCCACCTACTACTAAGGTCTTTTTTTTGAGGGGAAAAATCATCCAAGGTCTTCTCCCGCCCGGGTGAGGTGGGGGGGAGTGTCAGACTCTTACTGACTAAAAACCACGCCATTCCTATTCCTGCACTTCGACCTGGAGCCCAGACAATCCGTTAGGCCTTCCGTGGTCTTGGGTTCGGTTTTCGAGTCATTCAAAGTATTATTCGGTTTTACATTTTTTAGGTGAATAAGGTTGTACAGCGGGATGGTAGCCTTACGCCACAATCGTACTGCACAGGACTACCTAATCCTAATGACTACACGCTAACGTTATCCTATACTATCCTAGCTTATAATAACCCTAATTCACCCCTAAACCTAATTACCTATGTAGTCTAAATCCTATCCTATAATTGCCTAGCGTACAATGCGTATAGGCTTGGTGCTCTGGGGTATACTGGGATACAGACCAGCACTTCTACGCACCTACTACTAGGCCCTAACCTAAGGCACGTACTATCGTGGTACACTGTGGTATGCTGTGATACAGACCTACGCTTCGTACGCGCCTAATGCCCTAGCCCTACAGTCCCTAGACCCTAGCCCTACCATACGTATTTAAATATACTTATATAGATAGGTGCCGGATATCTGCCACCTGAGACCTACGATGGCAGACGGAATGTGGGTAGGAATGGGGTATGGTGGTGATGGTTTTCTCACTGCCTGTCGAGCAGACTCACACGACAGATCGGTCGATGGCTAAAGGTCTCTTGGCCACAGCGAGAGGAGGAGCTTCCTCCACCTAGTGGTGGAGGAAGGGTAGTGAGTCAAAGTCGGAATCAACTAGTGACTCTTTTATTTCTTATTCTACATGATCTTATATACTAAACTTATCCTATGTACACACATACCACACTATGATTGTGTGCTATGCGTGTAATGTACCATCTCAGCGCTCTATCCTTACGTGAGTACGTGATGTTTTCCTTAGTTGTATTCCGGAATTAATATGTTTCTGGTCAGTACTGTATCACGTAGGGTTAGCTCGCTGACATGGCATGTTCATGTTTGGACATTCTGCCCTCTCCGAGGAACAGGCAACTCCAGTTGATATAGTTCTATGGAGTCATCATTGGCTGCGTTCTGGTTTTCCGGCTGCTTCCTGGGAGGCTTCGGTAATTGGTTCGGCTGGCTGTAGATGGCGTTCCCTTCAGTGTGTGTGGGTGACTGTTTGTCGCCTCGATCTGGTGAACGTTGTGGTTGTCTCGGCTCGGCTGGCTGTAGAGTTCGATGATTTAGGGCGTTGTCTAAGTCGATGTGTTCCTGTTGTCATTTAGAGTTAGTTTTATTTTTAGATAATTAGTCAACGATGCAATTTTCATTTAATTGCATGTTCTTCACCACTCCAAGGAAGCAAAGAAACTGTTCGGGGCTTTGTATAAGGTCTTGCAACAACATTCTACTATTTTTTCTTGAGCGCCCAATATTATTTCTATTGGATCTCGTTAGTAATGAGTCGAATCTGAAATTAACGTGTTTATTAGGCAATCCGCTTGCATTGGTTGTATAGTAATGAATCCGTTAACTTTGGTAAACTAATGAATTTTACGTGTAACTTAAATTCGCTTGGAATTCTTGGTTGTAAGTTCACTTCAATACTGTAGTTTAAAGTCTTTGGTGTCTCAGCACCGATACCTACTACCTCACATTTTATTTTTCTGCGAGGGTAGGCTGGTAATTGGGCAACTTAGAATGAAGCCCGCGAACCTTGATCACACAGTACTCTTAGTCGTACATTGGTTGTCGCTAAAAGCATTGTATCCTGTGTGTAAGGTCCTGGTAGTGGACGTTTGTCCAAGTTGTAGTAGGGTTTTCAACGGTTTTCTGAACCTCTGACCCGTAATTGTAGTTTGAAGTCTTCGGTGTCTTAGCACCGATACCTACTACCTCACATTTTATTTTTCTGCGAGGGTAGGCTGGTAATTGGGCAACTTAGAATGAAGCCCGCGAACCTTGATCACACAGTACTCAGATTAGAATTTTTCTACCTACGCTATAAACGAAAAAGTCCTTGGAATTAAAGAACAATGCAATAATGTATTTACAATATCAGTAAAATGATTTATTACCTTTTTGGCATAGCGCTATAGACGGCGTGTTTTTTTACATTTCATTTTAGAGCTGTAAAATAATGTGGCAGATAATACACAAAATCTGCCAAATATAGGTAAGAACTGTGAATGCATGGAAAGATTTATTTTATAAAGTGTATTATTCTCTCTCTGCTGGAGACTGGAAAGTACACTGCGCTGTGGAACTTCACATTTAACAACTTATAGCTTTGTTAATCCTATGGGTCGACGTGCTCAGTTGTAGACCGTATCATCGCTTACCACCAGACGATATATTGGTCAAACGTCGGCATACCAAATATAAAAAAAAATCATTTTTGTGTGTGTTGGAACTCATGCTGAAAGAAACAAAACTAACTGGAACAAACCATGGTCGCATTTCTCGATTGCGAAAATTATGATGTACCTACAGCGATAATACTATTTATTACTGTATGATTTAAGTTAATATAGTTTTACGTTACATCTTGGTATGTATGAATGTGAAACTTTTTTTTGGTGTGTATGTGAATTCACATTTAAATAAAATCACGGATTATAGTAATTATTAAAACATCATAATTTTTTCGACATACTCTTAACATAATAATATTATTAGATTAGAGATTAATTAAAGCTTTTAATGAACTTTATCAGAGAATTTTATATGCAGTATATTACATATAAAAGTTCATTGTGCAGATTACCATTGTTATCGGTTTTGATAAATAAAACACATGCCTATTATAAAAATTATCACAATCAATGAAAATTTTGAAACAAAAATTACCTAGGTATGTGAATTTCCTTGCTGGATGTCACCACTTAGTTATATAACACACATAACATCACGCCTTTTATCCTCGAAGGGGTAGGCAGAGGTGCACATTATACCACTGTAAGTACAATGTAACACCCACTTTTCACTATTTATGTTATGAGTCCCATGTAATAGGGGGTGAGCCTATTGCCATATACCGGGCACAGTTCCATAACTTTATTTAGTAGTTTATTAGTTATATAACTTATAAAAATATGCCTTTTCATGATTACATTACAAAAATGTAGGTATAATATTTTAAAGAGTTCCTCAAACGCATTTGAAAATGTTAACAGATTTCGAGTCACATACAACAATGAAATAAATACAAAATAGAATGCTATTGTAATTTTTTGAACTGAAACATTTCATATATATTTATCCAATCATATAGTTTGTACTGGTGAAGCTAGTAATTCTGTTGTACATAGAATAATAATATTAATACATTTGTTTCCTTTCAAACTAAATACGTAATTCGACGCGCCTAGCTTCACTGACGAACAGACTGACAGACTATTATTTATTTTATTTTATATGTGTTGACGTTTCAAAAGTATCAATGGTAATTGAAATAAATGCTTTTGAATTTGAGTTTCTAGTTGACGGGAATTGTCATTATTTGCACATTTTTATAGGTTTAACTGCCTGAGTATTTAGTTTATTGATTAACGTTTGAGTAATTGGAAACTAAGGAAGTATGTAAGGATTGCAATAGATAGTGCTTTGTAGATTATTTATGCCTTCCTTTGGAACTTGCAAAGGTTTGAAAGAGTATATATACATACGTAATGTTTCACAGGTGTTTTAAGAGTGGCAAATCTATCGACTCAAGTTTAAAATAAGTTCAATGGTAGATGGTAATAAACATATAGGTACATAATATGTCGCGGAGAACCTAACGGGTAACCGGGGCTCCGGCTCGACGTGCAGGTGAAGGAACGGGGTGGTTTTTAGTCAGTAAGAGTCTGACACTCCCTTCCGCCTCACCCAGGCGGGAGCAGTCACTCGATGATTTTCCACCCTTAAAAAAAAAAAAATAGGTACATAATATGTTTTTCTTTGTTCCAGTTGACACCTTACATTGGTATGGAATTGAAAGGTGTTGTCAAACAGACTTACCTTCGTGGACATCTCATCTACGATGAAGGAGAAGTAGTGGAGAAACCGCAAGGAAAATTGTTATTAAATGATAATTGAAACACTAATATGATGGAAAACTTGTTGATTGTTATGCGCTTAATGTACCTATTGTTGAAATAAAGTGTCATTCCAATGTTACAATTGTATGCAGTTATTATTATAAAGCTTAAATCAATTTTAGCGGTTCTGTGTTCGTAGATTTGACTCACCGGGTCTCACGTTCGATTATTACACTAGCTGTTGCCTCGGTTGCCCGCGGCTTCGTCCGTGTAGAATATGAGTTTTAGGATATAACACTCGGTTGTTTCAATTTTCCAAAATAAAAATAACCTATGTTACTCCTTAGTATATCAGCTACTTGCCAGTAAAAGTCCCTTCAAAATCGGTCCAGCCATTTGAGAGATTAGCCAGTATATACAAACAAACGGATAGACTGACAAAAATAAAAATAAAATGTGGTATTTTGGTATAGAGGTAGGTATCGTATGTAGGTATATTTATATGCATATAGTAAAAGGTGGTTATTTCAATATTACAAACAGACACACCAATTTTATATATCTGTAAAGTAAAATTAAGTTTACAAACTATTTTTATAAATATGGTCTGGAATTTACAACAAGTTAAGCAGAGTATAATGGACAAGGCGTTACGAATTATGTATGTACTTATAAGGAAAAAGAGTTGAATACTTTATCTGACCCAGGCTTAGTATATTTGGTTGGATACTCAAAGGACCAGAATATGATCTACAAGACGTTGATCGAATTATCGTGCACGGCGAAGCCACATAAAAGGTCTTATACCTTCCCACCACGATATTTTGTTTTTTTTTTTTATTTTATTAACATTATTTTGGCAACAAAACTACATTGGCTTCTGTTTGTTTGTTTTATTATTTTAATCTAGGACGTAAGGACGGATTGCCCTTGTGACCGAATTATGACAAGGGCGAAACATGCAATTAGTAACATGGTTCACTGGCTTTTACTGTCAACGGTTTTGCTATCATGAATGTCTATTTTTCACATAAGAACGGGATTTTTTTTCTAAGAAATTTCGTTTTATTGGTGTCATTTACAAAACAAATATCGAACAAATATTTAAGTTGAAAAGTAAATCAGCCATACGTACGGTACGTTTGTTTGTGTCATAATCCTATGATCCTATATAATGAAATTTAGATTTAAAATTTTAAACCTATGCATCCGCATAGGTAAATATGTATATAAAAAGAGAAAGAAAAAACGGTTTTTCAGCACCAGCCACGATGCAGCATAAATAAAATATAAAAAAGACAATAAAAGATAGTGTGACAATGAAAGCAAAATGAACCGAGATTAAAAAAAATTAGAACAAATATCAGAACAGAGACGTTAACAACATGCCTTTGCCGGTACAGGTTACCTACTCAGTGTAAGCTAGGCACACGTACGAGTCATCCAGCACTGAAGTACTTGCACCAAAATATATAAGTCTAATATAGACTTAGCTCCCGAGCGCCATCAGACCACCACAGATGGGGCCCAACAGGGCCGATGTCGATTCGGAGTCGCGGAGAACCTAACGGGTAACCGGGGCTCCGATTCGACGTGCAGGAGAATGAACGGGGTAGGTTTTTAGCCAGTAAGAGTCAGACACTCCCTCCCGCCTCGCCTAGGCGGGAGTAGTCATTCGGTGATTTTCCCCCTTAAAAAAATATATATAGACCTAGCTATACGTCTGTAAAAGAACAATGATACATTTCGCACTTAAGTTAAACGTATCTACTCAAGGAAACCACAAATGAATTAATTATCCACAGTTTTCGTAGCCTCCAAAATAAACGCGTATCTTCTAAATGGATTTCATAATCAACCGTGAACAACTAGTTCTACTTGAAAAACGATAGATAAGTTACATGCTCGAATAATATGTAGGCACTTATCTATTGTCTTTGAATGCCTACGTTAGGTATTCTATCATACATCTTTACTTACACTTACACACTCAAACCTACGCATATTGGAATTATTGTTTGGAATTTTTGAGTTTTAATATTTTATTTCTTACTTAGTTGTTTTATGAAAAACAGTTTGTTATTTTGCATACAGCTATTATAATAAACTAGCTTCTGCCCGCGACTTCGTACGCGCAATCCCGATATTTCCCGTTCCCGTTCTTGATTTTTGGTAAAAAGTAAAAAAAAAGAATTGGGTAAAAAGTATCCTATGTCCGTCTCCTGGTTCTAAGCTACCTCTCCACCAATTTTCATCCAAATCGATTTAGCCATTCTTGAGTTATAAATAGTGTAACTAACACGACTTTCTTTTATATATATAGATACTTGCTATATCTTGCTTAAGTTATAGTGTACTTATGTGTTATGATTGCAGTTGTATGTACCTACATATTATAATATAGGTAATTGAATTGTTTGTTTAATAATTGTCTCTCGGCATCAAACGTAGAAGTTTGGCCAGTTTAGATTTAAGGCCACACTTACCTACTTATGCAAAAATAATTAAACAAATGTGTTAATTTATTTTTCTTTAAACATTTATAATATCTTGTTTGTTAATAGCCGTCCAATTTTGTTTTATGTTATTTCAAAGAGATAGTTTTATATTTTTTTGAGAAGATTGATATTTAAAACAAAATTAGACTTGACATAGGGCGATGCATTCGAAAATGATCTCATTAGAGAAACGATTTATATCCAGTAAATATTTATTCTAGGTAACTAATTAACGCATAAAAACAATGATTATAGGTAACTAGCTTCTGCCCGCTACTTCGTACGCGCATTCCCGATATTTTCCGTTCCCGTTCTTGATTTTCAGTAAAAAGTAAAAAAAAAAGAATTGGGTAAAAAGTATCCTATGTCCGTGTCCTGGTTCTAAGGTACCTCCCCACTAATTTTCATCCAAATCGATTTGGCCATTCTTGAGTTATAAATAGTGTAACTAACGACTTTCTTTTATATATATAGATTATTGTTGAATATTACTGTAACTTCTTTTTGAAATCGATTAAAAATAACTTTCAGCCTTAATGTATCTATTCTTCACTACTTTCAATAATTATTTTTCAGACAGTTCAACATAACATAACATAACATCACGCCTTTTATCCCCGAAGGGGTAGGCAGAGGTGCACATTATGCCACTGTACAATGTAACACCCACTTTTCACAATTTATGTTATGAGTCCCATGTAATAGGGGGTGAGCCTGTTGCCATATACCCGGAACAACTCCAGACTCCGTGCTACTACTGAAAATTTTTAAAAACCCAGTAATACTTTGCCCGATCTAGGAATCGAACCCGAGACCCCTTGCCCGGCAGTCGCACTTGCGACCACTCGGCCAACGAGGCAGGCATAATTATTTTTCAGTCAGGTCAAATGTTAAGATATTAATTTTATCAATACAATCTGTGTTTTGTAGGTAACAGTTTTAACTAAATCTTCGCGTGTTGAGACAGTCGTGTAGGTCGTGCTTGTAATAACCGTACAATTACAGTAATTTATTGCCTCACAATTAAAATTAAATTTTCTTTTGATTTTACTTAACCACTACTTAATTATTACATGAATAAATATCTATACTTAAAACTCCTGAAAGTTATACGTATGAACGTAATTGATCGCCACATCTCTGTAAATACATAAATACTTTGGAAGATTTAAGAAGAGGACTATTAGATATGGTATCTTGACGCAATCGTGTCCAAAACAATGAACACCTACCTATATTAGAGTTTTTGTCCGTACGTTTGTACGCCTTAATCTCGGAAATACCCGATTACGAGTGCTATTTTTGCTATTAAAACATTATGCTACAATTTATAGTAATTTTATCTTAATCTAGTTGATAAAATAACAAGTTATGCCTTTAAAAAAGAAAGATTGATTTTGAATTTTGAGAACTGGAACTGCTCGTTTGAATTCACAGACAAAAACATGTACCAATAATAAAGGTGCTCTTAAAGTAGAATTAAACTAGTTAAGAGTCATGCCAAACTATAATTCTACATAAATAAGAATGAATTTCCGTTCATTAGTCAACCTAAAACTCGAGAACGGCTAAACCGATTGGGCATATATTGATCTTAAAGTGTTCGTAGAAATCCAGGGAAGGTTTAAAAGGAGGGAAAAACCATTTTTAGGCAGTATTAAATTTGCCAGGTCAGCTAGTAGTAGATAAGTATATGGACTTGTACCATCTAGTATTTATATTTAAAAACTTCATTTTGTAAATGTTTTCAATCTTATTCTACCTGGAATAGCGACTCGGCGAGCTCAACGAATAATTGAATCATAACAAAAAATATTGGATCTACAAAAACCGGTCGTAATTCTAAGCAAAAAGCGGGGCAACTATAGTCAGAATCTTAGAACCGATGACAAACATTTAAATAAGATCAAGTCAATATTAGACTAAGTTTGGTTTCGATGATGTAACTGTGATGTAGGTTAACGATGTCTATGTCATTTGGAAACTTTTTTGTCTAATATTTAAAACTTTTATCTAGTAGGGAAATTGGTGACTACTTCTATCCTGCAAACGGTTAAAGAAAAATGTACCTAGGTACTACTTAATACTTTATGTTTTATAATGGAGTCTGGAGATTCAAGTTGATGAAATGTTGATCTACATAGATATATCTAAGTGTTATGGTTACAACAAGATGCAGTCATGTGAAATCTGATAAATCAATTGGGAACAGGTTGACATGTCCATCTAAATCAAAGATACGGTAGCGATAATCACTACCACGAATAATAGGATGGACGATAAGGAGTCTAGTTGATGCACTTTACGCTAAACTTTGATCACAATACATTTAGACGTTATTTCGACAACATTATTTGTCGAAATACGCCCCTATTTAATACAAACAAATTAGGTTTTATACGGTGGCGGCTTAAACTTACTTACTTAATACAGATAATTGTTTTTGGCATTGATGTAAAGAACATCAATAGGTAAAGTCGTCTCGTCTTAATTATTGTTATTCAGTTTTTTCTAAGCAGCTGCACAGTATCGACCGCTATTATGTTAGCACCGCAGATTTTAATATCAATAGCATTATTGTGTAAGTTGTGCTCAAAATATGTAAATATTATCAGAGTTTCGTATAGCGTACACGTCGATAAAGTCAACATATTTTTTTGTAGCCGGAGTTACCTGTCGTTTGATTGGAGCGACAACGAAACCGGAAGACAAAAAGTTATTTTTAAGCAGGCATGTGGTTACTGAAACCGAAGAATTTGAAGGAGGCGTCCTGGTGGACGAACGAGGAATCATAGAAGCTGTTCTCAAACAAGATTCGGTCGAATTACTGCTCTCTTCAGAAAGAAGCAGAGGCTGGCAGGTAAGCATTTTAATTTACTTAAACCTACACATTTCTGTGATAAATGGGTAATTAAGTAGACGTTTTATAACGCAAGCATTTGAGGACGTTGTTAGTCATAATAACACTACACACCAGTGTTATTAAATTGTAGTGACGTTATCATTCCACTCGTAATAGACCTGATTGTGATAACAGTTTTTATATCAAGTTTATCGCTAGATTTGTAGCCCCAATAAATGGTTTAGGTGAACCGATTGTAAAAATTGGTAAATTGCAATTTGCACCTAACACCTGTCTGTGTAAACTGTCTCGACCTCCATCGATTATGTGCGTGACGGTCACGCTTAGTATATTTAGTACATATTTTGGTAATTGTTATGTTTGTTGATGTTATTTACCTAAATGTTGAAATCTTCCTTCGAAATCTAGTCGTAGTTACTTATGTATAATCCTTGGATTAGGTCTGTAAATGTTGGGTGGATTTTAGATAATAGATGGTGGACCATGGGCGTTAATGGCAGGAGGACTGGATTCGCACGTGCATGTCAACGAGCCCGGCAGGACCTCATGGGAGGGCTACGTTACAGCTACCGAGGCGGCGGCCGCTGGGGGCATTACCACCATCATTGATATGCCATTGTATGTACCTATTCAACTAGCCAATATTATAACTTGTTACATTGATTTCATTAAGAAACAGGAAATTCTTATATTCGTTTCGACGAAATGTTATACTTTTTGTTTAGATAATAGGCGACGCGTAACTTTATAAATTAGTTACTTAGTTATCTTTTTTCTGTTTCCGGAAAAAGAATAAAATGTAGACATTCCTTAACAAATACTCATTAATAATCCTTGAATTGAAGGATATATTAAATAAATTATAGAGCATAACGAATTACTTAGACCACTTTTTTTTAGTCACAAATATTCTAAAAGTATTTTTTTAAACGTGGTAATTTAAACGTGGCCCCCAACAAACATGTACCTAAGTAGTCTTTTATTATCTTCCTGCCCTGGGCAAACAACCACATATCTGCATACCCCATGTACGAGACAACAATTTGTGGACGACAAAAAATTGTTCCGTGTGGGAATATGCGACATGTTACTCAGCAGTAGCAGGTTATCGTACATACATCATTATTTACAAAAGAACGTTCACAGGAACTCAATTCCCCCCACGACGACACTTGAAAACTTGAAAATCAAAGCAAATATCGCGAGAGAGGAGGTCTACGTTGATGTTGGTTTTTGGGGAGGCGTAGTCCCTGGAAATGAGGTAAATTGTTTTCCCTTTACCCCATCATCACTTTATTACCAGGTGACATTCGACCTTATATTATTATACTTATCTCTTATTGTGGCAATTTCATTGTCGACAGTTTCCATATAATTTTCCTTTCATTCACACTTGTACGAGGTCAAATTGTAATTACAAAACTGTGAAATAGTGTTATTCAGTTATGATCTAATGCGTTTAATCTACTTCCTTATTGTAATTTGTTCCTCATTATTTCAGAAAGAACTGCAAAGTATGATAAAGGCTGGAGTGGTTGGCTTCAAATGTTTCTTGATCGACAGCGGCGTCTCTGAGTTTCCCTATGTTACTCCAGAAGCTTTGGACGAGGCTTTAGTGTATCTCAATGGGACTGGAACCGTTTTGGCGGTAATTTTTTTTTATTATTATTTGGTATGGTTTTCACGTGTTGTGAAGAGAAGAAGACTAGTAGTAGTAGTAGTACATATAAGAACATGTAGGTAGGTATATAAGGTACTATTTATTCATTGAAATTTTCTACCAGCTGATTTTTAAATGCTTATTTCAGTTCCACGCAGAAGTACAAGTCGGTGAAACAACCAGCGATTGCGAAGGCTCCTCATGTCCAAGTAACATTTCTTTTTATTTTACTATGAAAGTTTTGTATTTGTACTTACTACATACCTATCTTCATGTTTTAATGTTAGTTACGTAGACAAAAACATTGTGTATCAGTACGGTATGTTATTGGCGAAACAGGGCAACCGGTTGATTGTTCTAAAACTGCCAAGGACAAGGTGTAGCAAAAGGATGGTGCTTACGCCTTGTAAAAGGACAAGCACTAAACTATTTTTTGTAATGAATAAAGTTCTTTATCAAGATCAATTTGCAAATGTTCACTGCTTGACATAAGCCTCTTTCATGGCATAATTAAATTCTTAGTAGATTTTTAATTTTCATACAGAGCAGTGACATACGTATTCAATAATAATAATAATAAACACGTGCCGTATAGTTAGAAAATTAATGCAGATAGATGAAAATGAAATCTCACCACCACCACCTCCACCAACCCAAACTATAGAACTGATTGATAGTCACAGTTCACCAACAGCTATCGTGTAATATTCTTTATGTGTCCTTTACTTATCGGAAGCCCGTAAGGGACATTAAAACCGGCCTTAGAGTCGAGAGCAAGAAGGATTGCAAGAATAATAATATCTATAGTTTGAAAGATATTTGTAACAAACTTTAACCAAATATACAAAGTAACAAAGTATACAAATAATACCTATAATTTAATCGGTCTACAACCTGTACGTGATATAAGCAAATTGAGTTTTGCTTAATCTTCGTAATAAACGAGAGACAATGAGACAATAAAGATAAATGGCAGTATTTTGTCTGGGTGCCCTGTGTATCTTATTAAGTAGTAAGTACCTATTATAGGTACATGTTATGTATGTCGCAATACATTCACGTACCTACCTTTCTTGCTTAACGGTGACGCCCTAGTAGGTACTTGTCTGTATGGAGCATAAGAAAACGTACAGCGGTGGAAAGCTACTTTATCATCATAATAGAATATAAAGAAGAAATGAAAATTAATCGCTAAGGTTGCTCAAGGTGGATTGGTTCAACCTTTCAAACCTCTGACCTATCACAATATCGTACCGAACACGAAAAACTATCGAAGTATTTTATTTTTTCATTTTCAGCCGTGATCGTCCCACTGCAGGATAGCATGCTTTCTGCAGCCAAATCATTTATCTAAGTAGTTAGCTAAATAAAATTTATTTTATTTCAGATCCAGATTTATATGACACTTATCTGGCAACCCGTCCTGAAATAATGGAGTTGGAAGCAGTCTCATTAATCGCGTCTCAACTTGACAAAACTGAGTAAGATATAATATTACAAAATGCTATCAAATTATACACGAAATTCCAGTAATCTACAGGTCATTGAATACATTATAGAACAAGAATTGAGCGTGCAAGTTTTTTAGAAAAAAAGTTGATACCAACTGGAGTTATTAAATTGTAGGCAAATAGTTGGTGACGAATAAATTAACAGTAAATTTTTTACAGCGTTCATGTTCACGTGGTCCATGTGTCTGCTGAGGGTGTGATTCCTATCCTTGAAGCTGCTAGGGAGGAAAGAATCAAGGCTGGATATAAGGGCTGGCGCGGTGGTGTCACCGCTGAGACCTGTAACCACTACCTTACTCTAAGTTCAGAGATGATCCCACCAGGTCACTCTGAGTTCAAATGCGCGCCCCCGATTAGAAACATCACAAATAAGGTAAACAGGAATAGTAGTAGAAGTCATTATAGGTATCGTTTCAATGAAAGTACCTTTTTATGAAGTTTCGAGTCAGTTCGATCACCGGAGGTCAAGAACCTCGAGTTATTCAGAAAGCTATTTTTGCTTGTGAAAATTGCATAAGTATACAAAACACCAGTTTCAAATATTCATTAGGTAATAGGTATTAAATAGATATCACATAATTATCTTCTAGAAAATAAAACGCATTTTGCTTAGGTAACGGTTCTATCGAATGATGTAGGCAGTGTCTGTAGGTAGGTAAGCAAACAAAATATTTGCCTGTGTTAATGGACTAATTTATAGCCTACAATTTTTTACTAATGATTCCTTGATTTTCTTATGATTTTTTCCTATTTTCAGCAAAAATTGTGGGAATACATCCGAGACGAAAGATTAGATTTAGTCACCTCTGATCACTCACCCAGTGTTCCGGAGCTGAAAGGCGCGAATTACTTAACTGCCTGGGGAGGCATCTCCTCCGTTCAATTTGGTATTTAAATTTCATAAAAAATTAAAATATTTTTAGAACAACGAATGATTATAACTTAATTATCTGTTTATTTTTAGACCTGTCTCTCTTCTGGACGGAAGCGAAGGCCCGAGGTTTCCCACTCAGTGCTGTAACTCGTTATTTGTCTGCGGGTCCTGCTCGGCTCGTGGGATTGCAAGAGAGGAAGGGCTCAATCAGGCCTGGCCTTGATGGAGACCTTATTTTCTTTGATCCAGATGCTTCATTCCTCGTCACGCCTGAAATCATAAGATACAAAAACAAGGTACCTAACTAATTGCTTCTATTTACAATAATAGCCTAGATACTTGTAGTACCGACAAGATATCTTTTAAACTGGCGATCGAGGTCAACCTTATTATTTCTTGTATTTTAATGATAAAAACGGTAAGGAGGTACGTTCAACCACATTGAATGTATAAAGTGGATTTGCGTAACAATTGTTTGTTCAATTGTTTACGATATGGTATGGTGTGCTGCTTATTGTAGCTATTATGCGTTATTTTAAATAGAAGCCAAATTTTAATAACATAAATGTTACAACCATTTTTAAATAGATCTAACCAGTCCTTGTATTGTTTTGTCTCTTAGACAGATATCAATCAATTGAATATCACGATATTATTGTTACAGATAAGCCCATATATGTACAGGGTGTTGAATGGGAAGGTTATGCAAACATACGTCCGTGGACAATTAGTTTTCTCCGACGACGAGTTGATTGGAGAACCTAAAGGAAAGCTGTTGTTGAATGAATTATGATTGTAATTGTGAACATCCCTACGTATTGACAAATTAAATGATTGTTTTTATTAATTAAATAAATTATTCATATTTCTGAATGATTTAATTACCAAACATTCCCTTGGAACTATTATGTACATACATACCTAGCCGTAGTCTGATTCTAATCATGTTTTATTAGTATGAAAATATTAATAGTATAATTATTATATCATAAAGGGAGGGGGGGGGGGGTCGCGGAGAACCTAACGGGTAACCGGGGCTCCGGCTCGACGTGCAGGATAAGGAACGGGGTGGTTTTTAGTCCGTAAGAGTCTGACACTCCCTTCCGCCTCACCCAGGCGGGAGCAGTCATTCGATGATTTTCCCCCCTTAAAAAAAAAAATAAAGAAATGGAGGGGGGGGGTTATTTTAGACTTCCTCGTTGGTGGAGTGGTCACAAGCGCGACTGTGTGGTTAATAACACCGATTGATGACTTTTGGCCTACAACCCTATTATTTTAGCCATAGCTGAGAGCCGTACTATCCTTAAGGTAAACTAGGCAAGGGTAAACTAGGGTGCTAGTTTACAGTTTTTAGTTACACATATCCCCATTTAGGGGCGGCGGTACCAAAAAAAAAAAATTAGGTGCATCTATGATATGGGATTGGGATGGGATAGATAGGATATTTTTGGATTGAGCGAGGGCGCTCTGTAAGTTCCAATCTACGTTTGATTTCAGCTCAAAAAATAAGTATCTGATTGAAAATAGACGTTGCATTGTACATATAACGTGCTGTGCTCATGCCTTAACCCTATATTTATTATACTCTGCCTTAACTTAGAGAAATAAACACGTGACTTTAGGTTACTCTTTTAGTCGATTTTGTATAGTAATCACAAGTTGACTACATTGAGTTGAGAAGAGATGTAGCTTTGGGGATCCAGGAACCATGCAGTCTCAGCTTTTACGTACGTACTTGCGTATAAGGTTTAAATCAATGAGTTTATAGTAAAAAGTCAAATAATGAATTGAATAAAGCGTGAGGTAGAAAGGTAGAAATCGCTTCATTCATTTAAATGTGTAACCATTTCTAAACGCACTTGTTTCTTAAGTTGGTAGCATTGATTGTAGGCTAACCGTCGCGCTTCTTTGAATGATTCTTTTATTTGTTATTGTTAATATTTGTATTCTCTATCGCATAGTGATATGTTTAATAGACGTTTAAAAATAAATACCTAAATTATAAACATAAGTTAAAATAAATATTTTTGTGGATTTCTGTAATTAATATAAAAGGTAGTATAGTGTCACTTTTGACAGATAATCTAACCTAAAACAGTGATATGAAAATCGTACATAGCTAAACTAAAGTTTATTATACTGTGACTTGTTTTATAATGCTGTTTTTAGATGCCAACAATAATCAACAATAGTATTGACACAACGCGCCAGGCCGACGGCACCAAAATGCAACTAGAATCATTGGAATTAGCTGGTTGCACACTAGACCGGTATATAAGTGCGGATAATTCGCGCCCTTCTTTTTTAGAGGTTTGTTGAATCATACTGATGTTTTATTTACTTTCCTATAGTGTTATAAAATAATTATGAATCAGCACATGCTTCTGAAATATTACCCTGAAGTAATAAAACATTGTTACCTTGTAGATAACTGGGATAGCCTCTCACAGAAGTCCAACATGCAGTGGTCTGAATGCAGGAGACTACAGGAACCTAGCCGCCTTAGTGAATCACCCCAGCTTGTCGCAATTGAAGATATTAAATAAAGTTCCACTGCCACCTGAAATTATGGAACATTTTGCCCGTATCCTTTTTACAGAATGCTATATTATACTTTTATTTTCAAAATGTTCATTATGATCAATCAATTTATCTTATTACACATGTAGATGAACAATTTATTTATTATAAGAATCCGATAAAACAACCACTATAAATTAAAACAAGTAAATAGTGTAAAACCTAAATAAAATTCTAAGCATTGTTTTCTTATTTGAATTACATAATAACTTCCTTAGTATAATAACAGATATGCAGTGTCACTGTCTAATGGGAGTGTTTCCTGAAATCAGCAGAGTCTGGTTGGCCATAGATAGCAATATTTATGTTTGGGCCTTCGAACATGGCAGTGATGTGGCCTATTTTGATGGACTAGGGGAGACTATAGTTAGTGTGGGCTTAGTAAAACCCAAGGCCGGAGTGTTCCAAAGCTTCGTCAAATATTTATTAGTACTCACAACCACAGTTGAAATAGTAGTTTTAGGTAAGTTGTATTCAAATGAAATGTTGTAAGATTGATTTTAAAATAGAAATCTTATAGAATTCAAAAATATACTTACTTATATGAATTATTGTTTCAGGAGTAACATTTTCATCCGGTAAAAATGATGGTTCTGGAGAGTTCCAAGAAATACATTTAGTTCCAGAGCCTGTGTTTGTCCTGCCAACAGATGGTATCTCTATGATGTGTGTTAAATCCACGGATAAAGGCCGGATCTTTATGGGTGGTAAAGATGGGTGCCTCTATGAAATCACATATCAGGTAAATTATTTATTGAAATAATAAAATATCTGTTCTTTTAAAGTCATCAGTTCATTAGTGTATCATTGTATATCACCAACTAGATAGCTAATTAAATATTGCTCTTCCAGGCTCAATTAGGTTGGTTTGGCAAGCACTGCAAGAAAGTTAATCACTCGACTAGTACTCTATCATTCCTAGTGCCTACATTCCTCAGTGCAGCCCTGTATGATGAGGATCCTATAGTTAAGATTGAAGTAGACAATTCAAGACATATTCTTTACACATTAAGTGAAAAGGGATGCATAGAAGTATTTGATTTAGGCCCTGATGGAGAAGGACTCAGCAGAGTTGTAAGACTCACTCAGGGTAAAATTGTTTCATCAGCTTTTGATATTGTCAAGTAAGTTATGATGATCTGTTTAGTACTTGTTATTATTATTATGTAGTTCTTGATGATTGAAGGTGTTTTTAATTTTATTTTAGGACATTAGAACCCAACAACTTCAAACCTGTAGTAGCCATATCAGCAGTAGAGGAATCAGAGTCAGATCATCTTAATTTAGTAGCTGTTACACAGACAGGTGCTCGCTTGTACTTCAGTACTGGAAGTTCAGAGTAAGTTGTAGTATCCGATACACATATTTTATGTTTGGTGTGTACATATAATAATTATTTGAATATTAACATTAACATAATTTTTGTGATTTTCAGTGCGACTCCTGGTGGGTCTCAAAGACCACAGTATCTGACGTTGCTACATGTGCGACTGCCGCCTGGATTCACACCTAACTCTTCAGTTTTGAAGCCGAAACAAGTCCATAGTGCTGTTTATGAAAATGGTGAGAAGTAACTCCAAACTACAAGTTAGTGAACACAAAATGTTCAGTGTTAATAGATTATTCACTTTGAAAATACTAATATCTTTCAGGTTCTCTGGTAATGGTCTGTTCTGCGGGTGGTGGTGGGGAGGCAGAGACATTGTGGTGCCTGTCCCGCGTGCTAGCTTCTACTTCCACCTTCAGTGAGTCACATACATTGCTGGCTCTGGACGGACCAGCCTGGGCACTCACGGCGTTGCCTCACCATCATTCTAAGCATCTGTCTCAAGCTATGCTTACCAAAAAAGGTAAGATTTTTTTGTAAATGTAATTTAGTTATTTCTTTACACACATGGAACACATGATGTAAATATAATATATTCAACATATATTAAAAAATATTTAATTATATATTTTGGCATTTGTCAGAGGTTTGGAGCGTGTCCCGCTGGGCGGTGGTGACGGGAGCCGGGGCCTGCGTGGTGGAGGCTGGCGCTGCGCCGGATCTGCTGAGAGCACTACTGCGTGACTGCCGTGGACCTGATGCACATCCTGTCAAGGATTTCTTCCAGGTAGTTTTAACAAAATTGTTTTATTTATTATGTTATCATTTAATTGTAACTACTGTAATATCAAAAAATGTCTCTGCTAATTCACAGTTGTACAGCGTTGAACAAGCGTGTGCGTGTGCGTTGTACTTGGCATGTGAAGATATTACTAGCAGTGACCTCGCAATAAGTGAGTGGGCGACCCGGGCATTCTTTCTCTATGGCAGCCAGTTGGCCCCATCACCTATGTACCAACACCCTTCACAAATGCCTACCACTTTAGGTAAGTAACAATAATAAACAAATAGGATAGCAAATATTTAAATGACAAATAACAACTAGCTAATATTGGATTTATTTTTAGGTTCGCCAAAATTCTCACCGCGCCAAATGTCTACACCCATGTCTATTAGGGGACCACAAGGCCAACTTCAACCAGGCAAATTGAACCAATCTTATCAGGGACCTATGAATCAATCATTCCCTGGATCACCAAACCAGTCTATGATGCCACAGTCACCATTCCAACAGTCCATGTTAAGCCCTGGATTCAATCAGTCATCATTTGTGGGCAACATGACCCAGCAACCAAGAGATCCCAACTTCCCAATGCCCATAGAATATAGTGCAAAGCACAATGGTCTCTATATCTACATTGGCAGGATCTTAGCTCCCATATGGGGTTTAAAATGTGTAACAATGTCACAGTCACCTGATAAAAAGGAATTTGTAAGTATTCACATTTTCTGTTTGTCTAATAAATAAAACTAAATGCAACAATTAATTGAACATTTATTGTTATTCATGCGCAGATGAGTAGCAAAGTGACTGGTGAGGATTGTGCGTACATAGTTCAAAAACTACAGCGTGTGGCTGCCTTCATGCAACGAACACTTGCCCCGCCGCATTCCGATGAGCACGCATCCCTGCAAGCCCTTAAATTATTTATTAGTAAGTATTCCACCATTGTAATAAATACTCGAATCATCTAATGCAACCAAAAATTCTTCAGAATATGCTTCTTGAAACTCCCATTTTATTTGCAGCAATGGCGATAGAAATGCTAAGCTTATGGAAAGTGCTCTGTGAGCATCAGTTCCACGTGATCGCCGCTAGTCTTCCG